AATATGGTAAGGGACGTAACATTTCCGTCACACGCTTGAGGTATTCGGCCAATCACAACGCACTGGACAGCTGGCCAATCAGAGCACACCTCGCTTTTCAGAACGATGAGCTTTGTAAAAATCGACGCGTTTCAGAAAGGCTGGGCATAGAGGAGAAACAATAATGTACGGTATGTGGAAAATAATGTGTTTTTTGAACGTTAAACCACATAAAAACACATTGCAGTACACCAAATACACAAAATAATGTTCTTTTAGCATCATCATATGACCCCTTTAAAACCTTTGACCTGGTAAGCCAGTGTTGTTGTTGTAATACTGAGGTACTACTATAGTTACAGTTACAGTTAAAGTTTATATTTTTATAAATTGTGGTCAAAATCATGAACGTTTTGAGATGAAGTAAGAACATTAGCTTGAAATCTTTTGGAGTATTATCGGCATATATTTTCGATCATCGGCTATGGTTTGGTTGGGCACAAACTAACATAAGAAAAGCATAATAATTTGTTATCTAAATTGGATATGGAGTTTGCTTGTGTATTGAAGTTTTGTTTCTTTGCAGGTACATTGAAGCCATTCGCAGACTGAAGGCGGCTGGGAAGAGATTTTCTCGTACTATCCATTTAACATTTGTCCCAGGTCAGCTCACAACATGGTCTAAAATTTTAGCAACAGACCTTAAATGGGTTATGAACTGCCTCTGTTTTTTTTTTATTTTGTACTGTTCTCTGAGGTCCACTTATAATGTTATCAAGATTTTTACATAAAAAATCATAATTTAGAATAGGCAATTTTCCGTCCTGTTTTGACTCCCCTCATCAGAAGGCTCTGATTGGATAGGTGTAGAGGATTGTAAACTCGGAAGTGAACACCCACTGCTATGATTGGCTAATAGTTTATAATAAACAGTGTACATTCCTCATAGATGAACGCTGCTGTGATTTAGATTCAAAATGCATAAATAACTCAATACATATCAAACGATCTGTAATAACAGACAAAGCAATAGTGACCATGTAATGAAAACAGTTACTCACACTTGTGTGTTGTGACATTACTGTTGGATCTAATATAGTCGGCACAGCATCAAATTTAGTTTCAATCTTACTGAAAATCCTGCGTCGAATTGTGCCTTGTTTGTAAACGAATCCGTGGTAAAATAAAGTGAACAAAAGACAAGAGTTCTTACTGACGCCGTCTGGATCTTCATTAAAAATAAAGTTCATCCACTCTTTCGTAATGTTGGGATCAGAAGGAAGGCAATGCAAAGACTGTTTTTCCACAGCTTGGCACTGCACAGCATCTTGTTGTCTTCAGAGCATCTTTATCGTTTGGTTTCTGTGTAGACCTGCATGTTTGTTTCTCGTAAACACAAGGCTACATGTGTGAATCAGTGGGCGGGGCTGAACTGGCAGCGATGTAGAAGCGGTGGGCGGGGCTGAACTGCGACGTAGAATCGGGGGCGGGGCTGAACTGG